CTTAATGGACAAATATTTTCATTTTTAAATTGTAATATGCCCCTTTAGGAACCTTAATTGCCAATGACATTAAGAACAATTAGGTAAATAAACAGCATCTTCATGTTTTAGAGCATTAGAGGAATACATTAAAGCTTTTGACTTTCAGCTGTTTTCTTATAAAATAATTTCCTTTATCAAGTTAAATTTAGAGGTCTAAGTAGACAGTTTCCCTTTAAAGAAAGATCTCAACAGGAAAACAATGATCAAATTAACGAAACATTATCTTTAACTCATTTTAGTGCTGAAAGCTAGAGTTTCATATGCATAATGCATCATGAAATCAGAGCCACCAGCAATACAGAGTTAAAAGACTAAAAAACAATACAAAACAAGCAACAAAAAAAACCAAAGAGATAAAGTGTAAGTTAAAAACATTGGATTTAAAAACAAAATACGTCGCATTCTTAGATGAGAGTTTTTACCTTCTTCCTGCCAACTGATACTTTTAAAAAAAAATTAGAACTCTGTCAGTTCTTTCATAAAGAATATTTTTATTCATTTGGCAGTAAAATTTCCTACACATGTAAAAATATGTGTGAATGTGTCCATTGTTCAAAGACAACAGAAAATAGCCACATTGGATGAATTTGCAATCTATGGCGCTGGAATGCCTGTATCTCTTTCTGAGATATATATCTGAGAGCAAAATATATAATACACCTTTTTAAAAAATCTATACTATGATAGACCTCTACAAAGGAGTCAAATTGCTAGCACTATAAGCAACATGCTTATCCCCAAGAAGTCTTTTTACTTCCATCTTTGTGAGGGATGACCATCAGGTCTATGGTCTGCAGTTCTCTGGAATATGAAAGGTAATTCTCTGGGGACCAAGTAAATAAATAATTCTATTCCTACTAAAATACAAGGCATTCAAATTTTGGCGGGGAAAAAAAAGTGTATCTTTGGTATTCAGTGCTCTACAGATGGCATGTTGGCCATACCACATCAAAGTCCAGGTGTCAAGTGTCCCGTTCATTCAGCTGTCATTATTTCTATTCTTGAATCTACTCATTATAAATGTGTATAAGTGCAGATTAATTATTTGAAAAGGTACTCCATAAATGGAAAGTATTCCTAAGCTTATCATAAAAGGTGTTGCCAGAAAAGTAATTAGAGCCATTACTTGTAAATAAACAATTTTATTGTTCATCTTCACATAAGTGAAAGACATCACTACAGCATCCATTACTCTTGGGTTACAAAGTTATAAAACAAGATTTTGAAATTTAAATTAATATCTTGATAAGGTGCTTAACTTCTAAACAAGGACAAATTAACATTTTTAAAAACCTACTGAATTATTATGCATCTAATGCAAGGTTTATCCAAAAGTAAATATAACATGACATTTCCCTAATACAATTAAATAATCTATAATTAATAAGCTGAGAATTGGGGTTCAAGACCACAGAGATTGAATTTTTTAAAAATATAAATAAATCCATTAGCACAGTAAGTTTGGCTATAGGCTTATTATCAATGTATGTCATGACTGACATTATTTTAACTCATTAGGAAACAGAGGTTAGTGAGAATCAATATCTCTCCTTTATGTCTACTGTTGATACCAACTGAGATGTAATTAAGAGCTTTATAACTCGGCTTTTTAACTTTGAAGCAGGACTAACATGTAGGATAAAAATTAAGAGTTTGGTTACAAAACATTTTCACATTGAAATCAACCTAAATGACAAAAAATTAGGGAACAGCATGACGTTCCTTAAAATCTAAAATAATTTACAAAATTTTCATTAACGATCATTGGTCTCTTTGTTACAAAACTGGCAAGGACTCTCAAAATTTTTTAAATTATGCAAATAGAAATAGCCGAGTTATACAATTTCCCTTGCTTTCTTTCTTTCTTTCTTTCATAAATTCAATTTCAAAATGTTTTCTGTACTTCTAAAATGGGTACTGCCCTCTACACTAACTTCCACATATAATAAGTACTTTTAACAATCACATTCACCTCAGCAGGATTGTGCGTAATAAAAGATTGACATTGTAATGAATTTTCCAGAAACATTTTATTACCCAAGTCCCTGATTTATCGCATTCTGAGAATACCATAAACAGTGGTGAAAATACAAAATACTGTTATATCTGGGACGTTGAATATAGTAATAATACACAGTAAAAAAGTCATTTAAAATTTGGTTGATATACTGACAATAACGGCAAAGACTTAACCGTTTGATGATCACAGAAAATCAGAAGGTATGAGTCAATGACATATTAATCAATTTAAAAGACCATAGATTTAATACAACATTAATGGAGGCACCAAAACAATGCAGTTATCAAACCAGGCCTAAAATTACCCTGAAAAACTCAATACAATATCAATTAAATTTGGACTATTTTTTAAAATGCATCTAAGAGCAAAAGATACTCATTTTAAAGTCTTCTTTATTAGACTACTAATAAAGAAAATTAAAATAATACAAAAAGGATATTTTAAAACTACATTAAGGCTCAGATTTTAAAACAGGAGAACCAAGGAAATCCAGTTATGGCTATTACTGTGTTCTTATAGTCTTACAGTGCCTACGAAGTTAAGCCCTTAGAGAATGTAAAAGCATGCACGTTCATTATGTACAGGTATTGTGGGAATCTGAAGGTAGCCAAGGCAAAATCTAGCAACTGCAACCTTCACTTTTAAATTCCTGTATTAGGTGGTTTAAAGACAGATCCTTAATAGTTTTCTAAACTCTTTTTTTTTGTAGTTATTAAAATATACATCCTAGCAAAAATGTATGGCTCATTGATCAATTCATAAAACACAGTCTAACAACACCAATTGTTACAATATAAAAGAAACTTCTTACAAAAGAAGCTTTATTAGATGTCAAAAAACCCTGTTTTAACTCACAAATGAAAAGTATTTGTGTAAGGGTCTTTTTGTAAGCTAGTTAAAGGTGATCCAGCTGGAAGCTTATACCCTGGGATGCCTGTCTCCAGGCCTTCCAATTTTGGAGACAAAGGCTTTAAATACCAGTCTATTGAAAACAAACACTAATAAAGTCTGTAGTTTATCTGTATACCTTGGAGAAGAGAGAATTAAAAATATATCATCAATTAATTAGCTTCCTATTCCCTTATCTGATCAAAAGGGCAATTTCAATTACGTAGATACTAGAGCTCCGTGATCATTCCAGTGGGAACCTCGAAAAAAATCAAATGCTACCATTTCATACCTGCTCCAGCATTGGAGCTGTTTCATTGTAGTCTTCCTTTTTTTCAGCACCATCCACCCCAACAGCTTTGGATGCCAACAAACCTTGAGAAAAATTGTACAGAAATTGCTTATTAGAAAAAATATTTATTTTCATCCCAATTAACTTCTCAAAAATCTTAGTAGTTGAAATCTCCCCTACTTGTCAGTATTTAGGAAGTAAATATCCTCGAATGTTTACTTTTCAAAAACACAAACACCCTTAAATAGTAACGGACTGAATCAGAATTTGAGAGTTACTTTCATAGTTGTGTG